ATAGATTGGACATCCGCAAAAACTACTTCACGGTTAGGGCGGCTAGGAGCTGGAACCAACTTCCAAGGGAAGTGGTGCTGGCCCCTACCCTGGGGGTCTTTAAGAAGAGGCTGGATGCCTACCTGGCTGGACTCGTTTGAGTCCCGTTTCTCTTTTTGGGGTTTTTTGTTGTTCTCCCGCCCTGGCGGGGGGTCGGGCTAGAAGATCTACTAGGTCCCTTCCGACCCTTAATCTATGAATCTATGAATCTATGAAAAGAAGGAAGCCACTTTGCCCTGCTGGTCCCTTAGCTGCAGAAGGAAAGGATTGTTCTGTGTTTAGAAAGTGAAAAGGTTTTTGCAGTACAAATGGGAAGCCGGAGTAACAGTTTTATCCGGGCATAGGTGACTTCCAATGTTCTTCACAAATATTCACACTCACGAAGTTTCCATCCAACCAAATGCTTGAGTGCCCATCTGTGAGTATCTCACCTTTCAGGGATAGAGTGCTCTCCATCTGCTTGGAGAGGTCGTTGAGATTAGTGTTATCTCAGGGGCACATGTTCCCTGACCCTTTGTCCTGCAGAGCCAGTCAACATTTCAAGCGAGGTAGGAAATAAAAAATGTTAAAAGAGCTCACTTTTGTTGTGTAGAGCAGTGGTGTCCAAACTTTTTTGATCGCGCACCTCTATCATTAAAAATTTTTGAGCATGCACCCCCAATATATGTATATCTATATTCACGCACCCCTATCAGTAAAAAATTTTTGAGAATGCACCCCCAATATATGTATATTTATATAAATAGAAATAGAAGTTCTAATATTTTCTTCCCACACCCCAATGGGTCGTCTTGCGCACCCCCTGGGGTGCACGCACCCCACTTTGGAGACCACTGCTGTAGAGGCATGCAGCATGCACCTGAAGACAAGTAACCTTCCATCAAGCAATGCATTTGCTTCCCATATAACATGTGCCAGAGGGCACGTAGCAGCAAGGAAAGCATTAGCAGAGATGGCTAAGATGCACACGGAGAGTTCTGGTTCTGCAGATTTCTACAGAGCTCCTTCTTGGCCTCTGGTGAGTTTATCTGTGTTAGCACCCTTCCTACTCCTCCAGAGCCTGGGGAATGGTCTCAAAAGAACAACTGAGATCTTCAGGGCACTATCAGGACTGGGGAAAAACAGAGAAGATAAATGACTGACCACTAGTAGAGAGAGGAAAACAGACATGCCAGGAGGTGAGAGTTAATTTCAGACAACATAAAGGAAAGGGGAAAACAAGTAAAAAGGGAAACAATTTTGGCAAAAAAAAAAATTGCAATGACAAAACAAGGATGAGGGGTTAGAAATAAGCAGTAGTAGCTTGTTCAGTGCACTGTATATCAATATGTTGGTGCCATATGCTCTAGGGGGTTAAATGCAGAGGAGAGAATTTCATTCCTTGAGAGAGAAGTTAATAAGGCATCCTGAGCACTGACAGCATGTGCGGTATTCATAAAAACCCAGTGCACTGAATTACTCAAACTCACTCTCCACTGGCTAGTCAACCCTTCCTCTTTAAAAAGGCAGTGAAAACACAAACCTTTCTGCCTGGCCAGTTGGCCACTGTGTCCAGTTTCTGAAGTACTGAAGCGGGGAGGCATCGATTCATGAGTGTCCCTCATGAGGGAAGCTCAGTCCTGTCCTTCCCACCCCATTTAAAGGTATGTATTCACAATTCTTTCTCACAGGAAGCTCCCTTTCACATTCATTTTAGGTTTCCTTTTGAGACCATGTTGACAACTGCTGCTGTACTGTATCCTTCAACGCTTGAGGTGCTTGGAGGTAGGAAGGTCTCTGCTCACGTCGTGATGTGCTGCTTCTCTTGTTTAGATGACTTCATGAAGCAGAGCCGGGGCATGCTCCTGCTGTACAGCATGAAGAACCCCTCCTTCCCTGAGTACACCTTCAGCAGCGAGAGCGGCATCATGTGCCTTGACATCCATAACGACTACCCCTACCTTCTGGCGGTGGGCTTCTATGATGGCAACGTGGCCATCTACAACCTGAAGAAGCCGCACTCCCAGCCCAGCTACAAGAGTTCTGCCAAGGCAGGGAAGCACACCGACCCCGTATGGCAGGTAGGTGCCCCTCGGGGAGTCCTGCTTTTCCTTTCATCTAGCATGACACTCATTTGGATTGAGTTCAGACCCCACAGCAACAAGAGTTGGATGGATGAACAGGTGAGTGGTCTCTGTGCATCTGTCAGTAGCATTAATTACTGCCTGGTAACTTTAGGCCTAATAAATACTTTTCAATATATGGAAGCCTATAGGGATTGGCTGCAGTAATGAGCTACAACAGAAACTAAGCAGGTCAGCAGAATGTGGTTCAAATGCTTATTTTTCTTTCACTTCCATTAAGATGAATGACTTCTTCCCTGGGGAGGAGCCAGTTTCCCCTGTATGTTCTTGCATGTGAGGCTATTTATTTTCCAAAGGTAAAGCAAAGGACTAGATTTTGACAGACAGCAGGAAATGGATGAGATGCAAAGAGCACCTAATCCACACCAAAGGGTACTTGTACACCAACCCCCTCCCCACTCCTGATGACAGTGCCTCACGCAGCTGGGAACAAAAACATGCTACACTGGGATAGATCAGAAAGGTTTTTGGCAGCCCAGGGGTAGGAATAGGCAGGCCATGTGTGTACACCCATGGGCAATGCTAACGTTGCAGAGAGCCTGCACAGTTGGTGATGTTTTAACTGGGCTGACTCTGGTGCTAGCTCCTGCTGGCAATCAGGCTGTGTCTACACAGCAGCTGAAGGGGTGTTGGCAGCCCAGGGAGATGTACTTATGCCGCTTGAATGTGGCTAGTTTGGGTAACAACAGAGTGGAGGTGTGGGAGCACAGACCTTACGGCATGGGCTACGCAGACATGCTGAGCACTGTGGATGTGGACTGGGGTCACTGGCTTGCTCTGAAGTCCCTGGTGTTGAATCTGCCTTGCTACTGCTACCTGAACTAGGTAGTGTAGAGCTAGCCATGCTGCAGACACCTCATTACATATAGTGTAGACATACCTTGGAGTTCTGGTGTGTGCCAGATAAAACCAAATCCCAACTAAACGGCTCCATGTTATTACAGCTGCCTCTGAACAGAGTCCCAGAAGGTGACCAGGGCCATGGGGCTCTAATTGCAGGAGGTTCCCAGAGAGCCTGGGGTCACACAGCCTGAACAGCACTTGTCAGCTGCTGACACGTGGATGATAGAAACAGATATTGCATTTAACTCCCCAACCAGAAACTTCAGAAGTTTACGCTCCCTTCTTAACCAGCAGCACTTTTTCCCAGAGTAAATGTCCTTAGTTACCTGGTCACAGGTTTAGCTGGGCCTATCCCCATCACATTTTCTGTCTGCCCAATGCCCAATAAACACACACATATATTTCCCCCTGGCCCCAGAGACAGATGGGAAGAACTTTCCCGGTAACCACTGCTCTCCTGCTGTTGCTGAGACTGCCTGGCCTCAGCACCATCTAAATGACTGAAGTCCTGCTCCTTTCAGACTCACTGGCTGCATCTACACAAGACACTGACTGTACTGTTGTTACCGAGCAGTCATTTACTACTTACGTACACAAATACTAAATCACTGCACAGTAACTGGTTTTAACGCACAGTCGCATCCCTGAACAGCTTTTTGGTGGTGCTGATGGCTCAGTAGCTCATTACTGTAGCAATGAGCTACTGCACAGTCAGCATCCCATGTAGATGCAGCCACTGATCGGGATTCTGATGCAGCTGGCACGGTGACTTCTCCATCTATAGACCCTCCTGTGGGAGCACCTGGCTGCTCCTCCAGCCACACGGTAGCATGTTCCAGCAGCTGCAATACCTCATAGTCAGTCTGGTGTCCAGCTGCTATGGATGACCATAGCAAACGCTTGGAAGTGAATTGGAGAGCACAGCACATGGGTGCATTGTTGTGGGCCTGTTACACCCAGGCAGGTATGTAAACTCCATGCAAGGTCCAGAAAACCCATGACTAGCACCTATTTGGTCACAGGGGAGGACCCACACATCTTTTGGCCCAATAGGTTAGTGGTCAGGGCACTTGTCCAAGCAGCAGGAGATCCAGGTTCTAGGCTCCCCAAATGGAATTTCTACCTTTGTCTCCCACTTCACAGCAAAGTTCCTTCACCTGAAGGCTGTGGGCTAGGCATTGCAAAGAATACCCTCTTCTTCTGTTGATGCTTGCCTCCCAGGCAGCCAGGAGGGAAAGCTACATGGGACCAGGAATCCACATGTCTCAGTGAGATGGGCACAGCTTTAGCAAGGGGGTGCTCTGGGTACTGCCACCAGCAGCATTTCTGCATCTGATAGGAGCTAGGTAGCCTACAGTGGAGCACTAGGGCAGGGAACAGAACTCACAGCCCTTTCCCTTCTAGGGCAGCGCCCGTCTCACTGAGCCAGGACCCCTCTGCTTCACTTTCTTCCTGGCCCAGGGGGCTGCTCTTGTGCTTCACCCATGGCCAGCAACTGGGACACTTTGCTAGAGGGGGAGATAGAAATCCAAACATATCTGGCTCAGGGGGCCTAAACTTGGGTCTCCTGCTCCTTGGAGAGGTGCCCTAACCACTAGGTTGTGGGGCTAATAGGTGGGAAGGGGGCTGACCTCTCCTTCCTCTATTTTGTGGCCACCACAGAATCACTTGCCTTCCCCAAGGGCAGGAGGTTGTAGACTCTGCCTCAGTGGGCCAAAATGCTATTCACATGTCTAAATTAGCTGCAGAAGTGCAACTTAACCATCTTGGAGGAGCAGGGGGCCAAGCAGCCCTCAGCATAGCAGCTGGCAGGAGTGTAGCCCGCTGGTGGCAAAGACACCGGCAGCTCCAGGGAGGCAGATGCAAACAGGAAACGCCAAGCAAACACCTTTTGGACATCAGTAGATGAGAAGGCCACTTTTCCTTTTGAAGGTGGCATTGACCCGCAGCTCTGGCTTCCTAGATTGTGTTTCCAAAGGCTGCAGGGTCCTAACACTGAGTCCTGCTCTGCAGTAGAGTATTTGTGCTCATAGAGCAGGGCTCCAGGAGGAGTTTATAACCTTGTTAGCAAAACTAGTGCATCACCAGGCTGTTGCAAAGCAATCAAAAGAACACACTGTTCCCACTGGAGAAGTTCTGAGCCACACACATCCATCAGCAACCACCAAAAGTTTGAAAGATGGCTATCTCCTCATTAGGTGGGAGAAATAGGAACATTACAGGCAGTGTTTTATGGCTGAGACACTTTCAACTTAATCCTTGTTCGGCACTAACAGGTTCTAAAATCTGAGACCTCATTTCTCGAAGATAATTTAAGGAAGCTTTGTTCCTCTAACAAGCTCTCTGTAAGAGTGGGTGCTGCTCCTCTGTTTGGGCCAAGCCATGCCATCCTCACTGAGCTCATACTCCTGGCAGGGGACTGCAGGGCTTGGCCTGTGACTTTTGCACTGGAATAATCTAGAATTTTGCCAAAAAATGAAGGAAATGTGCTTTTTCCAAGCCTTTATTTTCTGAGCTGACTGGCTCTTTCTTTTTGAAACAATGCCTGCATTTTAGCAATAGAGGGGGAAAGTGAGAAGCAAATGTCTTCAGACTAGAATAGAAAGCCTGGCAGTTCTCTCTGTTTTTACCACTTAATCTGTAGTGAATTAGTATTGCCTTTGCAAGCTCAAGCATTTTAATAAAGCAAAGCCAATGCTAACATAACCGCTATAAAATACAAAAGGCCTCACAATAGATTTTTTTGCCTAAAATACCAGGCCCCTGGTTTGCAAGATGTACAGTCACAGCCTCCCGTATCATTGAGAAATACCTTTCATGCATCGAGCTGTACTGCAGTATAAATAATGAAAAGATGCTGGATCATGTTAACACAGCGTTTGAATTACACGTTCAAAGTCACACAATGTCAGTAACATATTAAACAACTAATTTAAGGCCACGACTAGGAAGAGACAACAGTCACCTGTATGCAGTACAGCTAAGCTGCTGTAGCTGTGAACCCTGAGCTCTTATAGGAATATGGGGCTGGGAGAGTCCTCCTGGCCCATTCCCCACTGTAACGGGTCTCCTAAACCA